AATTTTTATTTTTATTTTCATCCATTTTATTGTATTTTATTTTTAAAACTGTAGAAATTTTCACTCACTCTTCAATCTATGATTTTGGTTGGCAGCCACATATCAATAATTAACCAAAATTAGCCTTGGTTCTCCAAGTTCGAATGTAATTCATCCATCCATTTAGAGGTGTCAAACGGGTCAGACCAGCCCCGCAATCATCCCGTTTAAATAGAAAATTGAGTTGTAGCCACTGTTTTCCTAGCCACTGCATCTGAATGGTGGACATTGCTGATGTAATAGCCACCACTTATTGTTAATTTGTGGCACCAAACACATGGCACGGTATATTTGTGGCTGAAAAATAATTAGTCACAGATGCTGAGTCAAAACACAGTACTTATTTTGGGATATTGATGTAAACTATATAGGCTGCATATATTAAAACACTAACCTTGATCGTGAGCCATTGGTGCTGCCGTGATAGTTGAACAGAGAGTAACCAAATTCTTCTACTCAGAATGATCCTTTAAGCTATTATTCTAGATGGGGTTTTGAATGTCTTTTTGCTGGTCTGATCGTCTGAGTAGGGACTTGATATTTATATGTATTAGCTCAAGATTCCTAGCCCATCAAGGAATACAAGAGCTATCCTAATCAATGTTTTGAAAGGCGAGGCGTTGATGTGAGGCGTTTTAGTCATTCTATGCGAGGCGTAAGCCTTGAAGCGGTGAGGCGTATGGCTTTTGAACATAATTAATTAATTATTTAAAATTTATAAATAATACAATATAATTAAATTGTACAACTAATTCTTATTGAACCATAACAATTTATATATATAAAGGTCCATGTGTTAATGGCTATGCAGAATTCTATTGCTATGCTTCATCGGGACTGAAGAAGATAATATATATTAATTAATTGGAAAAAAAGCAATAAAAAAAACTGAACGTGCGTTTTATTTAAGTAACCTCAGTTTTAAAAGGCCTGAAAGTGAAATGACGTTGATTCATACAACCCTAAAAAAATTCACACGAACTCTTCTTCTTCCTCGCGCCGCTTGGAGAATACACA